CGCTGCAGCGGTATCGGCCGCGCTGTCTCGCCCGCACGGGTGCCGTGGTGCAGGACGCTGGCAGACGTGGCAGTGACATGGAGAGAGCACCGCTTTGGTGCAGGGACTGCAGAGCCTGGCTCTGGAAATGGGCAGACGGGAGCTTCCCTGAACCTGCCCGGCAGGACGGACGGACAGGATGGGTGCCCTGGAGCCGGCTGTGCTGCCGTGGCCGGCCTGGCTGTCACCCTGGTCACCCATGGAGGCAGAAGGCACCAAAGGGGCATCCTGGCTCCTGTGGCCCGTCCCCAAATGAACGCAGGGCTCCCAGCGCCTCTCCCTCTGGAAATGGGCAGACGGGAGCTTCCCTGAACCTGCCCGGCAGGACGGACGGACAGGATGGGTGCCCTGGAGCCGGCTGTGCTGCCGTGGCCGGCCTGGCTGTCACCCTGGTCACCCATGGAGGCAGAAGGCACCAAAGGGGCATCCTGGCTCCTGTGGCCCGTCCCCAAATGAACGCAGGGCTCCCAGCGCCTCTCCGAGCCGCTTTCCTCAGTAGCTCCACAGCCCTTTCTGCGTTCCTGAGGGAAAGCCCCACGCTTTGCTCACAAACATCTTAAATATTTTCCAGCTTGTCAGTCTGGGGCCTTCGTGGACAATCTCCCCACTGTGTGTCCAGAGGGGGCTCCACGGGCAGGAGGCTCCCCTGGATGAATGTTCACTTTCTTCCCCATGCAGTGGGCAGCAAATAGCGCAGGGTGACTCAGACTTCCTGCAGCTCCACTCAAGTTCTTTCCACTCCGGGAATAGCTTTGGCTGGGGTGGACCAGAGTGGGGTGTTGTGGGCCCGTCCGGATGGGAGCCGTGTGGGAACAGGCTGCCAGGGCGTGGGGTCCCGGCAGGGATCTAACTCCACACACCATTTCCACAGTAGCTGCCGTGGGTCGTGGGGAGGGCAGCGGCCTCGACGCCGAAGGCGGATGTTTCCGCAGTGCCGATGCTCCAGGAAAAGGTCTGCGCAGGGAAGAGGGAGCGGGAGAGCATCGTGCGCTGCGGAAAGCTCTGCCTGGAGCCGCGTTGCACTGACCCCGCTCCCTTCCTGGCAGCAGGGAGCTCGCACGGATCCCGGGGCATGGCTGTTCCCAGGACGGTGCCGCAGACTTGTTCCCGGGGAAAGCCCTGGAGGCGCCGGTCTGGCCTGCAGCAGGACCAGGCTCCGTGGTCCCGGTCCGTGTCCCAGCCGCCGATGCAGGGCGCGCGGGAAGCTCCTGTTTTTGTAGGTGGCTCCAGACGGTTTTGGAGCGGGTGATGCCAGAGCAGATGCTTTCCGCGCGCCCGTGACATCCCCACAGCCACCACCAGCCCTGGTGGCGATGCCCCGTCCAGCCGAGTCATCCAGCTCTCAAGTGGAGGCAAGCTGTGAAGGTTTAATCTCAAAACATCGCATTTTCAAAGCTGCACTTGGTTATCGCTCCTGCGCCACGGCAGGCCCCTGCCTGCATCCCTGCCTGGATCCCCTCCTGCATCCCTGCCGGCATCCCGTCCGCATCCCTGCCTGCATCCCTATCCTATCCCACTCCGCGGGCCGTGCACGGGAGTTGGGAGCGGCGCCTGTCGCAGGCCAGGGAGGTGCAGCCTCTCCAGCTGATTTATTCCCCTGGAGGAGGGTGGAAAATGATCTTTTCTTTTTCCCGCAGATCTCCAGCTTAAGAGAATGCTGGATCCGGCCCCGTCCCACTAAATTACCTGGCCAAGGCTGAACCCTATTTTTCTTTGCAGGGAGAACAAGGGCGCTGGGATAATTTGTGGATCTGGGTCCCTCATATTAAATAATTCTTACCACTTAAAACAGTTTTTGTGGGAAATATTTTATAGTTAGAGAAATAGTTTTTGACATTTTGGGGGGGAAAAGAACAATGGACCGTTTACAGGTCTACACAGTAGATTAATGAATCTAATTGAGTCTGTGGGGAAATGCTTCAGTTTAACTACTGGAACTAATTTATACATTCACTACATCGTAATAAGTCAATTTAAGTTTCTGGAAATAAAACTGGATATCCTGGGTATAGATTTGAACTATAAATTTCTGCGAGAAAGGAGTCTGTGTGTTCATTATACATTGTAAAATTACCATATGGACCTGTCAACACTTCTTAGCACAGCTTTGTAATAATGTCATTTAGTTTAACATTGTAATGTGCCAGCTGAATTAATGCGGGCGCCTCCCCGCACGGGCCGCGACTTCGGGAAGCGCCACG